ATTGCAGTATATAACAAATATTATCCTTCATTATTGGTATGTCTTAACAGAAGATAAGTATTAACAAACAAAAACATATGTTGGTGAATTCCCTCTTTTAAAATATCACCAGCTCCATCGTTTTAGTGTTTAGATGGTAATAATCATTGTTTATTTAGTGTCAATTAGATGTCCGATGTTGAGAATAATTCTTTATGCTCTACAACGTATTTTACTTGATTACCCAACTCAAGTCAACTTTGAATGGCTCATTTTTAGGTTACAGAAATCTTTGGAATTTAATCCACCTGAATGCTAAAACGACAATGCCAAGTTTTCAAGTTCAATAGATGGAAATCTATTACTGATACAATCATCAATATATCATTTATTAGGAGTTTGTTCAATTGTTGTTCTTGATAGAACCGATGTCATTTTAATCTCTGTTTGAAATAATTCGAATTTTTGTTGTAATCTATCAGTTCTTCACAAGATAAATAATGTCCAAGAACAGATTTGATCGCTCAAATATTAGAACGAGCAATTTTATTCAATAAAAATGTTTGTAAAAAAAATTCTTCAATGTCATTATCATCGAATTATAAATAATACTCAATTAGTACAAATCGTTCTCATCAATGTTATTCCATTTAAAAACCGATGAGAAAGAAATCAAATACAGAAAATCCTATGATAATCTTTGTAGAGAATAAGACTCTTTATTTCAAAACTGATTCTTTGAGTTACGTAAAACGTTACAACCAACTATGTTGAGTAGCAGGAATATTTCGTGTGAAAATGTTGAGTAAAGTGTCTAATTTTGTTTCTAATCTGTTCATTCGATCTTCAATTAAATCGCAATGTTGTTTGAGTTTAAGTAGATTTTTCTCGTTGGTTTTTTGTTCATAATAAACATTGGTGAGAACAGTCATTAGAGATTCATTTGCGTTGGCCGCATTTCGTTGTTGCTGTTTGATCGTTCTTGCTTGTCGGATGGCCGTATGTAATCGATAGAGTGAATTGAATGTCGCTCGATACTGAGGATCACGTCGTTTAAGAAACCAAGCTCGAAATGAATATTGAATGATTTGTATCGTTTTCATTTTGTATTTACGAGCTTGATTTATGCGATCAACAAAGTCAAGAACCATTTGTTCGGATCGATTCAATGAGATTTTACTTATGAACACCGCAATTAAAACAGCCGAAGCAAAAACACCGAAGAAAGCTGTCAGTACAGAAACACCTGAAACATTCAACGTATAAAATTTAATTGAAGAAGAAAGTGTCGTCTATATATATATGATCTAACCTCGACCACAGTAAGTTTGAGGGATTATATCCCCGTATCCTAAAAGAACTTAATCCTCATATGAAAGACGAATATATAGAGGAAACTGACCGACAGTAGTAAATGTCACGATAGTAAGCCATGTAGCATTGATAAATGTCGATGTAGATGCAGTTGATCGCAATTGAGAAGAATTAATTGGCATCCACATTCCTTTTTCACAAGCATGCATTGACCAACTAGCTATAAGCAAGATCGTTACCAACATACAAGACCAACATCCAACAGGATACGTTTGGAGAAAGGCTCGAAGAATGAACGAAATTGTGATTGGTACTCGATTCAAATATCCGATCGTGCGAGATGAAGCAGCATTTACCAATGGAGAATGTAATGTCACGCTACGAGCAATCAGATAAAGACGAGCGAACACTTTAACAATTAAAATCATAAGAAAAAGGGTGTGTCAAAGAAAAAGAATCACTTACTGGGTAGAGTAAGCATCATCTCGAGCCAAACAATATTAGTAAAGGACGAGAATTTGAAAATGTATGGAAATGGATGAATAGCACATATAATCACTTCAGAGATGATCGTCATAACACCATGAATTCTCAGAGCTACACGCCAGTCGGCAATTTGATTGTTAATAGCGTAGAGCCGAATATCGAGAAGATGATAATATACGACCAGTCCAATAAGAATCACTGAAGAAATAGTGATCAACGGACGAATGATGATCATATTTGCCTTTGAAATTTGATTGAATCGAAGTTCTGTATCGATTATCATCAGAATGAGACCAAATAGAGCAATGACACACATCATGTCATTTACACGACGACATCGAAAATGAAGTTGTTTACGTTCGATCAAACTACGCTTCATATTCGATATTGATTTTCTTCTATCAGAAATTTTCTTTTCATGCGATCCTGACATCGAATCAAATTTGATCGGTTCCATCGACATCACCATATTGTTCATTATTACGTCTAAATAAAATCAAACAAATAGAGTATTTTGTTTACTAACACAAGGTTTTCTTCCAAATAAAACTAGATCTCCTATGACAAAACTACTTGGGAATACTAAAACACAATGACAAAAAAAAAAAACATGACCAACCAGATAATCAAAATGCCATTCAAGAGTTTTGAAGGTGTGTAGATATACGAATGGATAGAAACGTACCGTACATAAATTGTCTTGTTGTTCTATGATGAGATATGTGTTCTTCTACAGAAAGATTTGTTAGAAGCTAGTTTGTTTCAAATGATGTCACGCAGATAATTCTTCGTCATTCCGCGTAGTAACAAGAAAAATAAATATCTTGTCGTGCGTATCTTTTTGCTTTCTATTTGAAAAGAACTCATTTCCGTTCGATTAACATAAGGTGTACTAATCTGCAGCTCAGCTCTTCTCATGAGAATTTAACTAATTTTCATCTTCAAAAGTTATGTCATTATTGTCTTATTAGAAAAAGAAACATTGGTTGGCACACATTTATCAAAAAAGGCGTAAAATCACGTTGAATATGTAAGCTGATGTGCACTTCAATTACGATGAACTTTCTTCAATGAGCGATACATTTCTAAATTTAGTACAATGATTTCATAATAGACAGTAGAACCAATAAGAAATTATAAAAAATTTTCCGATCTCGATATGTCAAAATTTTAACTAGTTATAACTTTAATCATTACAATTTTGCATTCATATGTGTACTAGAAATGTATTTTATAGCATAACAGAAATGATAAAAGAATAACTAATTAAAATTTTGAGATATAGAGAACAGAAAAAATTATAGCAATATCTTATTGATTGTGTTGTCTATTATGAAATCAATATACTAAATTTAGAAATATATTGCTCTATTGAAGGAAGTTCATCATATTTGAAGTGAATAATGAAACGAAACGTACAATAATTTGAAGCATAGGAGGAGAAATATCAAGTACTAATATAATTAAATTATATCTCTTTTCTCTCAATTTATTATATTAGTTTACACATTTAGCAAGAATGAACAATTCACCTTTTCATATTAGATATAAATAAATTCTATTACGGAATAAATTAACTCAACAGTGAGGTATTTCTGAAACATTGAGGTAAAGATACATAAAAAAAACTTTTGAACTATTAAAAAATACAATTCGTTCACTCTATTGTTTCTAAATATTTGTCCTTTTATTTTCTCTACTTTTATAATTAATTTCTTTCTCAGCTAACAATTTTTAGGACCAAGCAGTTAATAATATGTATTTATTTTTTAAGTCTGCCTACAACTCTGTCATGTAAAATAATAAATCGAAAAACAAACTCAGAAATGAGTAACAAAGACATTTTTATCAATTCGATTCATTCAAAAATAACTTCACTTATCTGAAACTATTCATTGACTAGCTTTTCAATTGTACATCTTGTTTCGAATTCTTTTTTAAAGATAAAAACGGATATTAATGATGTTTAATAATCAAAATAAATTATAAATGAATTATATAATTTACTATAGAGGACATGAATTTTGAAAACATCTGCGATATATATTTAAATCAAATATCGATTCAAATATCATCAATATGAGGAAATTTTATTTGAATCGATAGTTAGAGAACATATACTTCGCTCCATGAATAGAGTCAAAGAGACTCAATCTTCGTTCAACATCTTGGTTCTGCAACTAATGATCACTCACTACAAAGAAGACACATCCCATTCGCATGTGGTCTATTATATAAAGATTGTTAGATATGTGTAATATTTTTCTGTACATTGATATAGGTGACATGTAGTCCGCATGAAAAATCCAAAGCATTCTCACGAATTGCCATGATATAACGTAAGTACATAAAATTTTTCTTTGTGCAACTTCTGATGTTGATTTCAACAATAGTGTCCTTGTTACTTTTATATGAAATGGAAACTATTGAGATGTAAGAAGCCCAGAATCACATTCATACATATATATAACTCATAAACAAATGTTTTATTTAAAAAAATGAAACAGTAATGATGATTTTGTAAGAGGAATATAAATAGATTTTCTAGCGAATAATATACATATGATGTTTCTCCAAAGTAATTCTCTAGTTAAGTTGATAAAAAGCCTTTATTCTTTGGATTGATAGAGTACATTGATTTACTTCATATTTAGTAAATATAAGTCTTCGAATATGAGTTTTGTATAAGGAAAACAAAAAAAGTAAATGACATGAAAATCAAGAACACGTCACCCGTAAAAACGATTAGAATATTTAATGACGAAAAATTAAGTGACTTTTTTTAAGAACGAATTTCACACCTACACCTCTTCATAACTTAAAATATTTAATACAAAGGTAAATATCATAAACACCTTCATTACTTCTCATACGATTGGAAGATCGTTTTTTGAAATAGAATAATGGAGGAAAGCAAAAAAAATAACATGAATAAAAAGTGTCATTATGACATAAACATGCCTGTTTTTATCGTCAATATCAAATTATATATGAGTCTTAATAATATATGTCGTAGGCAACTTGTACAAGTATGAATCTACGTATGTAACCTTTCGTTCTATCGCTGAAGCATACGAAAAAGAATGTTGTCGCATAATATGCTATATATATCGCAGTAAGAGTGTGCGATACTTCATATTTCTGGTGAATGTGCATAAATGAAAAACAAGCAATCATATATTAAGCTGAGTATTCGTTCGTCAATAATCTAACTAAGTATAATGCATATCATCTTGATATTGTTGTTATTGTCTACCTTAATATTAGTAAATGTAAAAGGAGCAACATCATTTGATACTCAAGCTTACGCTCTAGCACATCCATGTGTTTGGTCTATTTGTAAAAATGCTCCAACTGAATATCAGAACTATTCAATCGACTGTTGTACATTACAAGTACCTTTAAATTATGCTAAACCGAATCAAAGTTTCATTTCAATATCAATGTCTCGTCTTCATTCATCGTATATCCGTAGTAATAATACTTTATTTGTTATTACAGGTGGTCCGGGTGAATCTGGATGGAGCATTTTTCAAACTATAGCAGATATAATCCCTGTTACATACGGCATTACATTGATCTTTCCAGATCATCGTGGTACTGGTTTATCGACTCTATTAAATTGTGATGATCAGTTTTCTCAAACTGTCACATTGAATTGTATTTCGTATTTGACAAATAGGTGGACTATTGAAGGATTAAATCAATTTTCGATTACTTCAGCTGTTCATGATTTATCAATACAAATTCAAGCTTATCAATCAAATGATCGACTTGCAATCTTAAGTTTTTCTTATGGTACTCTATGGTTAGATCGTTTTTTACAAATCTATCCAAATCTCGTACAAGCATCTATTATGGATAGTCCATTTAATCCATTATTACAATCGATGAGTCTATACAATACTCGAGCAGCTTATGTTGTTGCACAATTTCTTACTTATTGTCAAATTCAAACCGAATGTATTCAATATTTTCCAAATGATCCACCCGCTGTAATGCTTCATAAAATCTTACATGATTTGGATTTGAATAAACAAATATGTATCAATACTTATTTTTCTCAATATAAAATTAATTCTAATAAAATGCGATCGACTTTGTTCTTTTTATTTCAATCAGCATTACGTTACTTTGATCGAACTATTATTCCAGCATTTATATTTCGACTCAATAGATGTAATCAAGAAGATGTAGATGCATTGGATTTTTTCTTTCAAACTCAAGGTTTCTCAACATCATCCTCGAATAATATGTCATCGAATGATGAAAACTTAGCATTGCTCAATTCTAATGTTTTGTTTTCGAACATTGTTTTCTCTGAACTATGGCTTAGCTTGAATCAATCCGAAATAGATCAAGAAACATTGAATGCTTTATATAATGCCACAATAATGTCTCGAGAAGATTCTTCTGATGTAATTGCATTAAGATCAGCTTGGCCAAAATATTCATTAGATGAATATCGATATCGTGTTGCTAATTCATCATTACTTATGATTTCTGGACAATTGGATCCTGCGACGCCATTCGATTTAGCTAGTCATCTAGCAACAATAATGATAAAAACTCGAAAACTGTATTCAATTCCATTAGTTGGACATGTCATTACACCGATTGCCTCATTGGGCTATTCGTGTCCATTACAAATAATTCTCTCTTGGGCATTTCCAGCTCTATTTCAAAGCGAACGGAGTGATCCAGCCTGCATTCAAGATCTTCCAACAAGCATTGACTTTATCGGTGCAACTGAAATGGGTCGGCAAACTTCACTGACACTCTTCAATCTCACTTTACCTTTTGGAACTTCTCAACAGGCGAACAATGCAACTGCTGATTGTTCTACTTTGTCGAATTCATTATCTAACTATATGATTTATATACACATTTTATTTTTCTTCTCCTTTTTTTTCAAAGTGATAATGTGACAACGCTGTATGACTGTCAGAATTTCTAACATTTTTTCTACTAGAGTGTGTTTTGAACAGAGCTTATCGCCGACATTTTCAACAACTATTTCCGTGTAGAAATTAGAAAATCGATTTGACTTGATTCGGTCTATTGATTACAATATCGCTATTTTGCACGGATATATGCCGTAATTCTGTCAATTAACTCATGAATCCAGAAGTATCCAACAGTTAGCAAAAGTTTCATTATGTATATGTTGAACAGGCAGAGTAGAGAACAAAACCAAAGGATAGGCAAAATGAATTTATTTTGAAAAGATTTTAATTATAATGTTCAAGTGAATATCTAAAATCTTCCTTAGTTGTAAAATTTGAAATAGTTGAACAGATATTTGATGAATAAATATAATATAGTTAGTTGTATTGAATATATTTAACCCTTTCAGACTCACCGTACTTAATAAGGTATGTTTTTTTCTAAGCTTCTTGATCTTCGAATAACTCGTAAATGGCAAAAGATATCGAGATGCAATTTTTTCTATGACATAGACGAGACTTCAGTATACACCTTTGCAGAAGAACTATAACTGTAATAAAGTCATGCACATGTTGATCATGATAAATCTTTGAGAGACCATCTAGACCTAATTTTAGATTTTTTTCAAATGCAATAAAATGCTGTGCAGAGTTTTAACCTTTTGATCGTCGATAACAACAGCATTGATCGATGATGAAAAAGTTAAAACATGAATATCACCTGCAATCGATTCCAACAAAAAGAGAAATAGGTTATCAGGATGAAAATATCATTTGATATGTCAAACAAGCCACATCTTTCGAATTTTTGGTAGTCAACGAAGATGCACTTTTTTTGTTGTACAAACGAAAATCAATATTGAAGTACTTGCCACTGTTCTCTTTGCAACAGAGCCTTCTGTATGAACTCTAACAGAAATTCACACATTAAATAACAATACGTTCATATCCATTGTGGGTGCAGGTATGAATCTTTCTTTTTCGACAGTCACAGCTAGCCACAAGCACACTTAGGAGAGTCAACTTCTTAATTTCGACTTGACACTCTACATAGACACAAGTCCTAAGCAGAGTAGTTTATTGTGAAAATTTCAGCCATTTTGGTTGTGTCTATCCTAAGAATCGACTACGTTGAAAGTACGTCCGTCACATCGTCTGTATCTCACGACCGATTCAAAGTTTTTGCTCAAGGATAGAAGCAAATCAAAAGGCCTGTCGCGTTCACAATAAACTATTATCGTGAAGACCTGTTTATGTGCAAAGTTGAAAGTCGAAATTTGCAAACAAACTTTGCCAGCCTTCGTGAGGAGAAGTACGGCATTTGTTTAAAAAGTATCTCAAAAATGCTGTATTGCTGAAGCAATAAGCTAAGGGCCTGAATGGTTATCAGAGTAATCATAGCTCATAAGGCTCTACACGATACACGTAGTTCTGAATCCAAATCTATTAGTCACTTGAAGAACTTTTCTCGTGAGATGTATGCCGCGTCTGTGGGAATGAGTTCAAATTTCCACTCCTATGCTTTAACACTCCTTGGAAATAGTGTTTGACAAAAGTTACATCATTCCTGCTCCCATAATTAAATATTTCGCAACAAATCTCTTTTTCTAAACTGAATTTATTATTTTATTTCTTAGACGAGTTTATTTTTTTTTTCAAAAGACTTCATATATTTCTCTTCAAGTAACAAAGAGCAACAATAAATCATTCGTTTTTTTTTGAATATTGACTCATTCAAAAAATCATTCTTTCTATTGTAATACAATACAAACCTATTAAAGACAGATTAAAACAAAATACCATCATACAAAAAAAGAAACGAAAAGAACAGAAAGAAAAGCCATCTAATCATAAAAACAAACCGTCATTTTTTTTTCTTATTTTTCTTTCTTTTATTGCATTAACCGAATATGAATGGCGATGAATATGTATATGAAATTATCAACAACGAAAACGATGCACGTATTTGTGCTGAACTTATCGCTGAAGAATTTTCTACACATAATCCTATTACAATATTTGATAAAATAACATCAAAATGTTTCTTTGAACATTGTTCATGGCCATTAATCAAAGATATGCTTGATGAACGATTATCATTTCAGGCGAAACATCGTTCATCTGGTGAAATTATTGGTGCTGTTTTTGCTGGTGATTTATACACGTATCATCATAGACATCCATATGATGGTTGCAGTCCGCCTAGTGTGATTCCAGTTAGTGATTTACTCGATGAAATGGATAATACTTTTATTTCACATGATTTTGGACGAGAATTAAAACCTAATTTAGTTGTACATATAACAGTAGCTGCAATTCGTGCACAACATTCAGGTAAAGGTGTAGCTAGTCAATTACACATAGCTTTTTGTAATTATGCAAAAAATGAAAAAAGGATTTAAATATGCTCTTGTTCAAGTAACAAGTCAAGCAACACGACATATTTATGTAAATAAAATGGGTGGAAAAGAAGTGACAACTGTTGATTCAACAACATGGATATGGAAAAAAAAAGAAAAGTGATCAATTATTATATCCTTATAAAGATTATAAACATGGATCAATACCGAATATCCTTATTGAACTGAAATCTAATTGAAATTAATCTTCTTTTGCTCATATATAATTAATGTCTTATTAAACTTGTTATAAATGTTTAATCGATCATTTTCTTAATATTAATTCCAACAATCGTAATTTACATTATTTATTCGCTCACATATTCTAGGTATAGTTTCAGTAGCTGTTATTGTCCTTGTAACTTCGAAGAAAATGATTAAATAAATGTAAAAATTTTATTCGTAATAGATAAAAACTTGATTAAACATCGCAATAAAATAACACATTTGTCCTTCTATGAGATTTTCTTTTGTCTAATGTTATTATACAGGGTGTCCCAAAAGTCCGTCGGAAAAGTTAATTCAAATATCTCTTATACAACTCAAGCAATTTAATTGATTTTTTTATAATGTGTTAGTATGTTCTTTAAAGTTTTATTTCACATAATTTAGTTTGCAACAAATATTCAAAATGATTACCATGAAGTATAATACCTAAATCCATCGTTTTTGAAATCTCTAAAAAAAATTGCAGAAAGTTTATTTTCGAGCTAATTTCGTTTCGTTATCGGTTCTTATTTTGAATTCAACCAAATCTTTATATATATATCTTATGTATATAGGTCTCTACTTTATATTTGTTAATAAACCATTCAAATGAAAAGAGACTTTGTATGAAAAAAAAGAGCTCTTCTGATTGTGGATATTTTGTAATTTGCGTATCAAAGTGATATAATTTCAACTCGATCTTATGAATCTTCTCTATGACATGATAGGAGAAATTACACTCTATATGGATTCATTAGATGATATTCAGTGATAATTCGTCCTGATATTGTCCATGGAATGAAGTAGGCTGTTGCAACAACCCGAACACTTGATAGTGGCACATTTTCACAATTATCATAAACTTTGCTGATTTTCTCTTTTGTAGTTTTTGAAGGTCTTTCAAATTGTTGTCTGTTTACTACTATACTCATTTCGCAAAGGCCTTGAAAAGCGGCAATAGCACAGTCCATGTGTAGCGTTTTTATGTCAAATTCGACTTGCATTTTTCCTTTCACAATGATAGGTAACTCAAATTTGGGCATTAATAGAACTATTCTAATTCTAATAGTTATAGGCACAGACATTTATCCAAAAATATACAGAACAAAACTTTAAAGAACATACTAACATACTATAAAAAAATCGATTAATTGCTTGAGTCGTATAAGAGATATTTGAATTAACTTTTCCAACGGACTTTTGGGACACCCTGTATATAACGCTCGATTCAGAATTCTCAACAGAAATACAAACTTCAACTTAGAGGTAACCATAAACAAGCTAAATCCTAATGGTATATAACTGCAGATTACACTATTATTAATGACATACTTTGGTGAACTAATAAGAGCAAACATTTATTTACTTAATGGTGTACGTGTATTAGTGATATGTTTTTTTTTTCTTAATCAGTTATATTTAATATCAACACGTAATATAGAAACGTGAGAGAAAATATCGATAATACTGATTGATAGTCATAGAAAGCTTTTTTTGACCATACTTTATTATGTGTTTCTTTTTTTGTATTTGTATTAATTTATACAAGTTATAAGAAAGTATCCTATTTATTTTTGCTTGATTTTGTGTCCTTCGTAGTAAGACAGAACAGAATAAGATACAAAAAAACCTAGTAGCGGGGCCTCTTTGAGGTTAAAATGTAGAACTCACATGTCTTCGTTAGCTTTATTATGCTAATACTAAATAGACAAGATTAAAAACCAAAGGTTTTTTCTGTCTTGAGAGAAAGAGTTGCTAACGCCTGCAATGAACTTTAGTCTTACTCAGGACTATTCGAAAAAATAAATCTGGGTTTCTAATTTCTGATTAATCAAATCAATCAATTTGAAAAGTTTAAATAATTTTGGCATAAAGTTTTTTTTCTCTCCTAGACACCTTCTATTGGTAATTTGTGAAGCAATTTTTTTAAATATCAGATTCTGCAACGACATTGTCGAATGTTGTTTCATATTTTTTCATTATTTGTTTTTTTTTGACGATCATCATTAGTAATAATATTAACTGTAGTAAAAAGTTTTCTTATGCATCTAATGATGCGACTTCTTCGACTCTTGGCAAGTCGAACACGTACTTCAAGTTTGTTTATCGTTACCCAAGATAAAATTACTGATGTTTGAATTGGTTGTAATAAAGATACATAGAAAAAAGATCCATTTTTGAGGTTGATTAATATTTTCATCATTCTTTTTTCGATCTGTAGATGTACATATGATAACTGTCGAAGACAAATTGAGTAAAGTGATGAACATTAAATTACAACATTGCTTCTAATTTCTTTTCCCAATATCTACATATTCATTGTGTTATTTAAGTAAGTTAGTTCCATTTTTAAGTGAAATTGATTGAACGAATATCTATTATTATTTTCGACATTGATAGTAAATAAAACAGTGATAATAACATAATTTATTGAGTATAACATCTTTTAATATCCAATATAATTTATGTGTTCTAATTAAAGCTTGCCAGAGGTAAGCAAACAAAATAGAGTGTGATTTTTAATCAGATTCATTCAAATCATATATTCAATTGTTAATAACTTGAATAACACATATATTTCAACTAAAAGAATGAAAATAGCAACTTTAAATTAGATAGATATATTCTATGATATAGAACCTTGAAAAAGAGACAAGTGAAAACATGTATTAGATATAAATTCTTTTCAAAGGACAATAAGCTATTGTATACTCAACGTAGGTTATAGTAGTATTAAAATATCAAAGTATTACATACGACAACATATTACATATGATTACTATATGTATATCATTTGGAATTGGTGACATCTACTAACAAAATCTGCTTTGATAAAAATGAATTTAGTTGAGTTTATTTTTTTTAATGCTAATAATATTCTATGAAGATCCACAATACATTGAGAACATTTCGAATAAGTCATTAATTTCAAAATATGCTGGTTCAATTAGTTCAAACCTAATTTTGGTTGATTTTACATGTCGTACTGAGTAATTTACCTAGTATTGATACTTAATCATTATATATTGACTTATGTCTGAGTCATTTCTCTTTTCTTATCATATAAAATGCAATGTTTATTGTGTTTGCTGTATACTACAAAACTAATTCTGAAGTATATGCTTCACATCAAGCAGGAAGTCGCTCTGTTGGTGACATTAGATAAAGTAGTTCCACTGAAACAAGTTCGTGTTGATGCAAAAATTCGTTCGTTTGCTACCGATGTAACAATTATACAAGTATTTAAAAATGAGGAATCTGTGCCAGTTGAAGCTGTATATTGGTAAAAAAATCACTTCATTTTTTGTGCATTTTGTAACTCATATGATTGTTATATAGTTTTCCTGTTGAAGAGAATGCCACTATTTATGGGTTCATAGCTCGCGTAGATGACGAACATGACATTGTTTCTCCAATCAAGGAGAAAAATGTAGCACAGCAAGAATATACACAAGTTCTTGCTCAAGGTCACAGAGCTTATCTATTAGAGCAAGATGAAGTTTCAAATGTCATATTTATCATTAGTGTGAGAGCGTATGCTATTGTTGTTTTCTTTCTTGAGTATTCAATTCGTTGTATAATGTTTTATTCTAGGTTAATGTTCGATAGCCAATGTCACATTACGATTAGTTATTTTTGTTGTTCCTACTACGATTGCTCCCCGTTACTCACCTTCACACAAAGGTATAACATCACCGAGCGAGAGTAAAGTGAAATATTCTGAGTCGATCCCTTAATACCCTCGAATTCATCTATCAAGTAGAAAAACTCGATCAACATTTTATCTGTATTTCATCTTCTTCATATTGAATCAAGGTCGAATGCAGTAATGCAGAGTTCTTTCTTATAACACTCATCCAACAAGAAACTGAACTCAAGTAAGTCATTTATTGTCTTATATTAGTTGAAAACATTAATGGGCTGGACCAAAATGTTTTCATCTTATTCATATGTACATTGAAAGACATGTGTTAATTTGATTTTTTTTAATCGAGACATTATTTTTGATGTTGAGTTATCCGACGTACGCAGAAATACAATTGCAGCCATTAACAATAGTGCTGTTATGATCTCATTCATATCAAGTGAAGAGGATTGTCGATAAGACTCAGATAATGTGACAAATGAATTTTTTTTCGTAATTGATTGTAGTGGTTTGATAAGAGGTGATGACAAGATTGGTCTAGCATGCAAAGCAATGTTACTTTTTCTCAAGAGTCTACCAGTCCACTGTCGTTTCAATATTATTCGTTTTGGATCTTATTTCTCAACACTTTTTACTGACCAGGTAACACGAGAGCATAACGAAACAAATATGTCGCAAGCTGAAGTGATGATCAAGAATATGAAAGCTGCTCTTGGTGGTACAGAATTACTCATGCCACGGCGCTGGTTGCCAGATAACAAACCACCTGAAAGTTCTGTAAGACAAATCTTTCTACTGACGGATGGAGAGATTTCCAATGTTACTGAAGTAACAAATCTCTGTCATGAGATGGCCATATACACGCGCATTTTCTCATTCAGTTTGGATAATTCAGTAAACAACTCATACTTTGTAAATTACTTCATTTAAATTTCTTTTTTATTTCGCAGGCAAATCGTGCACTTGTTAAAGGTTTAGCTCGTGCTACTAATAGTTACTTTAATTTCATTGCTCCACATACAAATGTAGATATCTATGTTGCTGAACAACTTGCTCGTGCCTTACCCCCAAGCATCACAAATGTGTACGTTAAATGGAATACAAACCAACGTATTCTTCATAAATTGCCCGAGCATGCTCCACCCGTGTTTATCGGAGATTGGTTACTTTTCTATGCTTTGCTCGATGAGACAATGCCATTTGATCATTCAACAACGGTAGAATTATTTACTGATATACAACAGCAATCCATTGGTCTAGCTCGTATAGACTATGTGCCATCAGTACATGGTTCTCAACTTGTTATGCATTTAGTAGCAAAAGCATTGCTTCGTGAACTTTTGGATGATCAGAAAACGATAGACAAAGAACTTCTTATTAATATTTCAATCAGTTATGGCATTTTATGTCCATAGACAGCTTTTATTGGTGTTGAAAAAAGATTGGATACGAACAGTAAAAGTAATATCGATATGGAACTCCGCGAAGTGCCAATCAACGTAAGTAAGACAAGTCGAGAGTCAGTGACACGATTTCGTGCATTTGTCAAATACGTCTTCTCAAAGATATCAATGTTTATCGTCTGGCATTAATCTTCAGGCGATGAGAATACTCTCTAACATTGACCCGCTATTGCAAAGAGCTGACAATCTCTCAATAAGACAAACTAAATGGTTTGAATTACATGCTTTTTCAAAGCAATTTTACAAAACAACGAGACCATGCACTGTATCCAGTGACAGTACGGACTCGATTCTGCAGTCTGCCATTAATTGTGTTTCGTCTCTATTCTCCAAAATACCTACCATATTATTTTCTAATGATTCTGATTCGAATCGTGTAACATGTTCAACACCTATTGATATTAATCAATCATTGCATAATTCAAATGCCTCTAACAATCAAACATCGAAGATGATCTGGCCAACGGATGAACAGAAACTGGTTGATCGGCTTATTGAATTGCAATAATACGATGGTCAATGGATATTAACAGCGGATGATGTTAATCAATTGACAGGAAAATCTGTGACTACATTTTCATCATCAATGATTGAAAAACTTGAGAAGACTACTCAACAATCGGTAATAACTACAATAATAGCGATCATCATACTTGAAAATCGATGTCTTGGTTTAAAAACACTTTGACAAGTCTTATCGAACAAAGCATATAAATGTTTGAAAGATTTACTGAACGGAGACGAGTCCAAGGTGGAGCAATTGATGAAAGACATTCGTGATCAATTTCAATAAACACTGAATGGTAACATTCCAATAAAGAATTGTCTGTCTATGTCATGCTTGATAAATGATGACTATGCTTTAAATCAAGATATTCTTTTTTACTAATTACTCATTTTCCTAAATGATTTTCTCATAGTTTACACAGTTAATTATTCAAGAAAATTTGCATTCTGTATCTTTCATAATATGATGATATATTTAACACAAAAATATTTATATTCACTAATATTAATGAGCCAAAAAAACAATTATAGTTTCTACATAGATAATACCTATAATAATAACAACACTTAATAACTATATCCATCAGTTTCAATGTTTTTTTTGTTATTCTGTCGTCTTTTGATTAACTCAATAAGATGAGAGGTGTGTTTTTTTATAATTTTGAATTCGATAAAAAGTCACATAAATAAATTTCATCAACACATGTATAAAAAACTGTCCGAAGGAAGAATTAATTAATATATGGATTAAGATAAAATGCTGGTATGTAAGATATTTTCCTTGATAGTATTAGCTGTTGCATGAATACAGATGTGGAGTTGGTATGGATATGAATACCACTCTTCAGCTCATTGACACTCATCCACCTTCCACACCCCACACCCTTCTTGAGGCTCAAAAGATCAAAAGGAACTTTAAAATATTTAGTCTTCATTCGAAAATAATTTCTTATAGGTTTTGGGGTACGCTGATTTCGAATCTAGCAATAGAAATAAAAATTCGAAATACTTAATTATCGACAAGCATACTGTGAAAGAAACTATTGTTTTCATTGTTACAAGGGAAGATTGTTTTGTGTTTTCTGTTTTTGTTTCTTTTTGTCCAAGAATGTTATATGGTTTAATTAAATACAGGATTTCTCAGAATTTTTTAGGCTCGACATTTTAACGTCAAAATATGTGTCTTCACAAGATGTATGTCTGGTGAAAAAATAACTTTGAGATCTCCTGTACCACACACCTCTATCAGCCAATTTCTTGAGTTTTGGATGGTTATTGATCTATAGTGTTTTACTCTGTCTATATGTTGGTCAATCAAATAGCACGAATGCATATCATATGCTATTCTCTATTTAATAAGCTCACCTCGAGCTTAAACAGACAAACTGTTTATGAGAAAACGTCTCAATTCTGAGTACACTCATCTTTAACAACTTTTTAAGTTCAAAATAGAATCTTTGCTCTTGTTTTAGCTCGGATTTTTCAATAGGTACAACTAAATAACTTAATATTTTGGAATTATATCTGGTTCGACTAGACCTTTGATTCAACACAACTATATAAAAAAGAAGCGTTTTTTTCAGGCGACTTATGTGCAGAGTAGGGTGGTCTTCTCGCGAATTTTTTCTTAAGTGCATCTATTATTGTTATTTCATTAAGATCATTTATTTATTAGTTAAAGAAAATTACTCAAATGGTAGTGCAATAAACAGAAGATTATAATATCAATTTTTATTTCTTGTATAAATGTTAGATTAAGTTTATTTCAAATTAGGAAAAAAATTTTTAAAAGACTTCATTATTTAAAAAAAATCTACCAACGTTTATTAGTATTCGTACGTTCATCAAGAGCATCCATCTCTGGATCAACAGCGCCAATCAATGCTTTAACTACATAATCACCAAATGAAAATGGATAATTGAATCCTTTAGCTTGACGTACTTCTTCTCGTTCTGATTTATAATCATCCATAACATCAACATTTATCATTGTGCGATCCCATCGAGATAAATAATCTACACTTACTTGATCATCAGTACAAGCAAGAAATGTCACATACATAGTATTTGATTGACGTTCATGTTGCATTAGATTTTCTAAACTTTGTACATCGACATTACCATGGTTATCAGTTGGTTCTCCATCTGTAGCTACAAAAACTAATAGACGTTTGTTACCACGAAGTTTACTTGCTGCTGATTGAAAAATTCCTCGTAAAGCAGGAGTAAGAGGTGTAAATCCTTGAGGACGTTTACTAAATGATTCAACAACTTGTCGAGGATCAGTAACATTGAGCATAGGAGGTCGATTAAGAAAATGTACGTCAACTCCATTTGAATCAAATATAGTACCAATATCGATAATGATTTGCACGATAGCTCGTAACTCATCCCAACGAGTACCAGTTGTTCCGTCGACAGGTGTATTCATTGAGCCCGAATCATCACAAAGTACAACAATTTCAAATTGTTGAAGTATATTTAGACGTTGTAGTAATGCATCACTAATTTCATATTTTCCAGCTATTGCTCGAAGACGCTCATTGTGAAAATTTGTATTGTAACCACCACCTATGAGATGAAAAAAGAATGAAATCAAATAATTAAAAAGTACAAACCAAATTGTTGATATGTTTGTTGTGGACTGTTTCCAGGATATTCACTTACACTGACGTTCAAAATTATTCATTCACTCAACGAATAACCATTTAATGATGTTACCTCTGTTCTTATTCAAGATATAGAGCTTCGGTTTTTCGGCGAAATATAGCTAAATACTGATATTCTCTGCACTGAAACTGTCAGCCCTATACAATATGTTGTTCATGATATAAGACTAAAAATAATAAAATTGTAGAGTTTTAGTTTAGCTCAAAACTATTCATACAGGTATTTCGTGAAATAAAATGATTGCAACATCAGGTATTTTGCCAATATCTCAGCATAAGTAAATCCTATAATCTTCAATTTTTTAAAAAGATGCATCATGATACTCTCTACAAGATCGGCTATGAAAACACCCTATCGAGTGATTGCAATAATTTTTTTAAAGCTTAAGTGAAGCTCTATGAAATGGTGAATTGTCTTAAGTTTGTTTCTGTCTGAATAATAGAACACTTTATCCTTTCGTAGTGCATCACTTAAGCTTTAAAAAAAATTATTGCAACTACTTGATAGGGTGTTTTCATAGTCGATCTTGTGGAGAGTTTCACGGCGCATCTTAAAAAAAAAGAAACTCAAAATTATAGGATTAATCCATCCTGAGATGTTTGCAAAATATTCGATTTTGGAATAATTTTGCTTCACGCAATAGCTGTGTGAATAGTTTTGAACTAAACTAAAACTCTACAATTTTACTATTTTTAGCCTTATATCATGAACAACATACTGCATAGGGCTGAAACTTTCACTGCAAAGAGTATCAGCACTTAGCTATATTTTGCTGAAAATCGCAGCCTTATGCTTTGAATAAGAACAGAGATATCCTCATCAATTGGTTTTTCGTTGGGTGTATGAATAGTTTTGTGTGCCAATGTATTCAAAATTACAGGTATGAGTTATGATAACGTTCACTATTTTAAAACAATGTCATTTTACCTTGAGGTTGTTGAGAATATGATGATGGATAAGGATTTGGAAAAGACTGTTGTTGTGGATTATTTTGTGGATAATTGCCTACCAATCATTCGAATTAGATAGTTTCAAAGAAGCTAAATGACTGTTTTACCTTGTTGAGGTGGATATACGTTCCATTGTTGATAAGGAGTTGATGGTTGATAAGGATTTGGTGGTGGATATGGATTTTGATACCTTGCAGTATTTACTACAACATATATTATTCATTTATTTTCTTACAATGGAAGATTTTATACTATTAGAAAAAACATCAGACATCTTCGGTTCAAATACAAACTCTTACTAACAAACTTACAAACTTAAAATATGAACTGTCCATAACATGTATCGAGCAAAATAATGGATTTTTCAGATACTTATAGCATATATAAGATACTCACGAGTGAAAACTATGATGCTATTTATTTTTCTTTTTTCATAATGGTTGAATAAAGATTCTCAAGTTCCATAAGAAAAAAATTGTGTTTTAGCCTTTAACAAAAAATTATGTTCAAAGTACCATTATCTTCAAATGTAGACACAATATACCAAAAATTTCTGAATTTGATGAAATATTTTAAGGTTTGTTTTTAAGTTTGTAACACGTGTTTTTTTTAATACAAGACGACGAATTCTATTCAACCATCAAAAAAAGAAAGAAAAGCAAACATTGTTACAATTTCGACTTCTACGTATTTTGTATTCCCCCGTAAATAATAAAAAACTCATTATCTCAAACGGTGCACATTATGATAGTCTAAAACTATCCATTATTAGTTTTCTCAACAGTAAAATCTAATCTTTCCAAAGACATCAAAGTTCGACTAACTTGACGGTGGTGCTGATGGTGGTTGATTACTAAAAGATGCTTGTGGATATGGAGTTTGATGAGAACTACTACCTCCTAAAATATAGATTGTCATAATTCATTTATAATGAAGGTATTTTGATTTAAAACAATGATTGAAACTGACCTTGAAATGTTGATGGTTGTTGTCCAAAATTAGGAAGTGAATATGGTGAATAATTATTTGTATTCGCTATCGGAGTATTTACGAGATAAGAGCTTGCATGAGAAGACGATGATGTTAATGGAGAAGCAGTTTGATATGGTGGTATTTGAGATGGTTGTCCTACCGCATACGATGTGTTTTGAGCAGTTGGTTGAGGTATCATACTGGAAAACCCTCCTTGTATTGTGTTCCTAGCAGAATTAGGTTGTGATGCAGATGTTAAAGAACGACTTTGTGAGGCTGATGATTGTCTATTTCCTGATCCGAAGCTTGGATACATTATTACTTCTTGTTTCAAGTGTCTTTGATTATCGAAATGTATAAAAGGTAAGTGTGTCTTTGCTGAATTTATACCCTTCTTTCTGTGTTTACTGCAAATGCACAAGGTAGTCTATTTAAAATAAAAGTATGACAACAGACAGAACGAAAAGCGAACGGTAGAAGAAAAAACGAGCGTTAAAAGAAAAAACGAGCGTTAAAAGCGTCAATACAGTTGATATGCATTTATGCATTGCTATCGTTTCGTTTCAAACATAAAAACGCAAGAGGAACACAGCACGTGCTTAATGTAATTCACTTAAAGAAAAAAAAACAGAAATGATCAAAGTTGACTCATGTGTTTATTGATTTTTCTTTCAGGAGAAAAATAATTTGAATGAATTCTAATGTCTTACATTAGACTCAACTCAAATCTGAATATCTTGTTCATTTATTTATATTAGCTTGTTTATTTTTTTTCGACTATGACTCGTAAAAAAGAATTAAAAATTTTTCGGAATCTATGAAATAGACATGAAGAAGGTACTAAGAGAACATAATTCTTTCGACAAATGGCTTAAGAATCTATTTGTTATGGTATGCAATATTAGTAAACTTCTCGAAACGTACGCAAAATATTTAATCAATCGAGGTAGAATTATACAAGTGCAAGAGATCACGTTTTATAAGTTTTTTTTGAGTGATATTTTGAGTACGAATCGGGTCTAGTAAACTTTATTCATAACCAGTAACGCGAAGTTGATAGACTTTTATGTAAATAATTGATGAAAAGAAGTAATATCTCCTAGGATTTAATAACAGTTCTTTGGACATTTTTCTGATTTTTCATTATATAAATGCATTAACCTGCATTATCTTATTAGTAAATAAAGATTTACACGACGATATTGTGTAACGGATAGACAGAGCATTTCAATCCATTGCGTGCTTAAGACACGAAGAAGCTTCTATTCTTTGAGAAGAACTCAGCGAGAATCGCTGCACCATCGATGACTGTAATCGTGAAGTTCCGAGGAAAAACTTAATTAGAGGAAAAGACTCACTAAAGAAGCTCAAGAACAATGATTAAAATTAGTTGAAGATATCGATCAGTTTTGGACGATTTCCATAAAATTCTCATGTTGATAAACTACAAAACTGAAAGATAAAAATTTAGATACTTTTATTTGGTAGTGACACTTTTTACAACTACTGTAGCTATCTCGTAGATCATAGCTTCTGGGTTATATTGTTTATTTTTATAACTCCGGATTTGTATTTTTATTGTCAACAATGGCACTTCAACACAGTTTTCGCCAACATTTTTCTCATGAATATGAACTACCAGCTTATCTTTATCAGTGTGAGAAAGTTGACTCTCATGATCAGAACATAACAGTGACACTCTATTTTTTCATGAAAAAAGTAACTTTTAAACTCCTCTTTATTGACTTGTGACAAACGGTTTAAAAATGAGAATAATCAATGCTGAACTCTGTGTCTAATTCACAGAGATATTTTACATTCATTCCAGAGTGTCTATCAAAAATTTTGGTAGAATAATATCTATTTAGACTTCAATTGACTTTTTTTAGTGTAGAGAACAATGATCAATTATTACATTAAACAATTAACAGTTCAACTTACAATGTATCTATAGTTGTAGTCATGACGTTTTGAATGAAATCATATAAATAAAAGCTTTGTTTTCATGTTGTTTTAGTCGATTTATATTATATTTACATTGAACAAACTGGGAACAATCACAGTACAAGTATAATGAGCATAGATAGCATAACAGCACTCTAGGAGGATGTTGGTGTGGATGCGGCATTTGTGTGTGGCTTTGATCTAATTCTATCCAATACGCAAAACGTACATTGAACTGCATACCCACATGCACACCAGGTACAGCTAATGCATGCATCTTTTTTGAATTTATAGAGCCTACTCGACATAATCGTTCCTGCAATATGTTCAAAATAGGCCAGTGAGAGCTTGAATTGAAAAAAAGCCGTCGAATATGATCACCGTATTGTAACTTCTCTATACTTTCAACACCATGATTGCACACGAGAATGAAATTATTGCTGCTGCTTTCCTTCAAATGAATGCATTGTTGATACTTGAACGACTTACATATGCTTTCAATAAAGAGAAAGCAAATACTTTGCTTGAGACAAGAAAAAAACCTACGTTTTGACGTGAGAAACAAAATTCATTTGAATCTGCTTGAAGAAGTAGTCTAGGATACCTATGTTAGTTATTTATCACGATGGGTTTCATTCGTAACACTGATCATTTTATTGATTGAGTTAAACAAAAGAAAAGTGGATCATCAAGTTCCTAACAAATATAATGTGAAACAGCGTTTTTGAAGATTTTGATGTATTTGCTATTCATGGAGCATTGAATGTGTGCATTCATTGGTTAATTTTTTTATGCGCGTTGCAGAGAGCGAAAAGTATGACAACATCAGCTATTCATTTTGGTTTGATTCAATTCTGCTCTGTTAACGTTGTCCATCTTTCGGATCTCCGAAGAACACAATTTAGTTCTTTTTTAGGCTATATTCGTTGCCATTAAAATATCTCAAGGAAGTATTAATTTTTTGTTATCAATACTGAGTTCAATCAATATCGACTGCAAAAATGACAGTTATCAACAGATAAACAAAAGAAAACTTGATTATTTTTTTCTCATATCATGAATCATCACAGAAGAAAAATGTGAAGATGGATCGGACTTTTTCAACTGAATATCGACTAAAGAACAAGAAAAATGCTGCTATTGCATAGGATCAAGGCATCATTGACGAGTCACGATTGGTCTCTGCATATTTTTGCTCAAGGCTATTCAGTGTTCGCTTGTAAAGAAAGCGATGAGAGTAGATTTTTAGACAGTTCTCACTCTGCTCTAACTTCTTATGGAACATTTAGTATGCTGGACTTTTCACTTTTGAATATTGAAGCATCCATCACTGGATTTCGATGAACTCGTCAAATGTATCTGTTTTAATATCAATATGGCGTGTTATTTGTCGAAAAAGCTTGTTAGCGCAGCTCCTTTGTAGGTGGGATGTGGAACTCACATGTCTTCATTAGCTTCACTATACTAATACCAAATATGCAAAGTGTAAAGTCTAGAAAATAAAATTGTTCTTTTATAATGAACATTGGTTTTCATAAAACATTCTTTTTTCACATTTACATTTCGAACAAAAACTTTGCTATCCTGATGTGAGGGAAGAGGAAGCCACGACACTTCGACTTAAAACTTACACGAACTATTTTCTTCGAAAAGATATAAGAGTTCTACAAAAATTTGTTCTACGCTCATCTCTAATAATTATGCACTTCTTGAATTATTTAGCACTCAAATTTCGACTCATTCGAAGTCTACTTTGTTTAGCTATGCATTAAATATATGACAGCTTATTTTAAAGTATCGGGTTTTTTTGTGATTTCCGATGAACTGTGAAAAAAAAACCAATCAATTTTGTAAATTTCAATAATTTTTATCGGAATTATTTTATAGTTAAGTCTATAAATCAATGCAGATATATCAAGACATTGTATTTCTGACAGAAGATTTTGGAAACAAGATTCCGAAGTTGTTACTCATTATATTTATAATTTTTATATAACGAATCTATAAGAAACAATCTTTTCTCTCAATCTTCGCAATATTCGAAGTTAGTAGCTGCTACAACTCAGGAGTTATAAACATTTTTTGATACTTGCAGTTTCAGCGATTTGACCTTAGCAGACTTCAGAAGAAATCCATAGATAGATTAATGATCACATTGAGTCCAATATTGATGTTTATTTTCAGTTTTCAACTAACCTAAGATGATTATACGAAACATTTCAACACTTCAAGTGTTATTCTGTTAAAAAGAAGTTTTTGAACTGCACAACTACTACTGATATAGTGATCTACGATAGGTATGAAACTGAAAATAACTATCACTATTCGATTCAGAGTGATGAATAAACCATGTGTTGACCTCTTTTGGAGTGCTCTAATATCAAATTACTGAAATTGAAGGCATTCGAAAAGTCTTTTGTCACTGTCATAGCAAGTAGCTAAGAATTTGAAGTTTTCAACGAATGAAAGAGAAAACTGTTTTCTACAAATTGGTGATATTACCAATCGATATTCAATAGGAAATGACTTCAGAATCTTGTTTTTCAAAATCTTCGCTCAGAACTCACCTGATTTCTCTATTGATGACTCTGAATGTTCTCTTTTAAATGATGAAAATTGCAAGTCTCTGCATTGCTCCTATCAATATTTACTAAAAGAACATCCATATATATAACAATTTGACGCTGATAGGAACATAACTTTTAAATGTATCTATTGTTGTTATTTTATTAAGATCATTTATTTATTAGTAAGAAAATTACTCGAATGGAAGTGCAATAAACAAAAGATTATAATATCAATTTTTGTTTCTTGTATAAATGTTAAATTAAATTCATTTGAAAATGCGAAAAAAAGTTTTAAAAACAGTTGATTATTAATAAAATCTAACCATTTCTAGTGCTATTTGCATATTCATCAAGAGAGTCCACCCCTGGATCAACAGCACCCATTAATGCTTTAACTACATAATCACCAAATGAAAATGAATAATTGAATCCTTTAGTTCGACGTACTTCTTCTCGTTCTGATTTATAATCATCCACAACATCAACATTTATCATTGTACGGTCCCACTGATTTAAATAACGGACACTTGCTGGATCATCAGTACAAGCAAGAAATGTCACATACATAGTATTTGATTGACGTTCATGTTGCATTAGGTTTTCTAAACTTTGTACATCGACATAACCATGATTATCAGTTGGTTCTCCATCTGTAGCTACAAAAACTAATAGACGTTTGTTACCACGAAGTTTACTTGCTGCTGATTGAAAAATTCCTCGTAAAGCAGAAGTAAGAGGTGTATATCCGTTGGGACGTTTATTAAATGATTCAACAACTTGTCGAGGATCAGTAACATTGAGCATAGGAGGTCGATTAAGAAAATGTACGTCAACTCCATTTGAATCAAATATAGTACCAATATCGATAATGATTTGCACGATAGTTCGTAACTCATCCCAACGAGTATTAGTTGTTCCGTTGACAGGTGTATTCATTGACGTGGAATCATCACAAAGTACAACAATTTCAAATTGTTGAAGTATATTTAGACGTTGTAGTGATGCATCACTAATTTCATGTTGTGTAGCTATTGATCGAAGACGATCATTATTAAAGCTTGTATTGTAACCACCACCTATGAGATGAAAACAAGAATGAAATTAAATGATCGAAATCTACGAACCATATTGTTGATATGTTTGTTGTGGTTCGTTTCGAGGATATCCACCTATTTAAAATCATAGATATAGTTTACGAAAACGTTCACTATTTTAAAACAATGTCATTTTACCTTTAGGTTGTTGAGAATATGATGTTGCATAAGTATTTGGAAAAGACTGTTGTGGTGGATTATTTTGTGGATAATTACCTAACAATTATTCGAATTAGATTGTTTCAAAGAAGCTAAATGATTGTTTTACCTTGTTGAGATGGAGTTACGTTCCATTGTTGATAAGGAGTTGATGATTGGTGAGAAGTTGGTGGTGGATATGGATTTTGGTAACTTGCAGTATTTGCTACAACATATATTATTCATTTATTCTTTTACAATGGAAGATTTTATACTGTTATAAAAGAACAATTAGATATATTCATTTCAAATAAAAACTCTTACTGTCAAAGCAACAAACAAGAAAATGAATTCTTTAGGTATTTACAGCATGTATAAGATACTCACGAGTGAAAACTTTGATGCTATTTATTTTTCTTTTTTCACAATGGTTGGATAAAGTCCGTTAAATTGCATAGGAAAAAAATTGTGTTTCAATCTTTAACAAAAAATGATGTCCAAAGTATTATTATCTTCGAATATAAATACAATATATCAAAAATTTCTGAATTTGATGAAATATTTTAAAGTTTGTTTTTAAGTTTCAAACATGTTTTTTTTTCTTATGCAAATCGACGAGTTCTATCCAAACATCACAAAAAGAAAGAAAAAATAAATATTTTTAAAATTTTGACTTGCAGGCATCCTGCATATTGTGTAAATATGTAAAAAAACTCATTCTCTCACATATTGTATATCATGAGCAATTCATATTTTAGATTTATTATTTTCTCAATGGGAACTTTAATTTAACCAGAGTATGTCTAATGTTCTTTACAAATAGTATAAAACCTTCTATTTTGTAGTTTTCTTAACAGTAAAATCTAATCTTTCAATAAACTTCAAACTTCGACTAACTTGATGGTGGTGGTGGCGGTGGTTGATTACTAAAAGATGCTTGTGGATATGGAGTTTGATGAGAACTACTACCTCCTAAAATATATATTGTCATAATTCATTTATAATGAAGGTATTTTGATTTAAAACAATGATTGAAACTGACCTTGAAATGTTGATGGTTGTTGTCCAAAATTAGGAAGTGAATATGGTGAATAATTATTTGTATTTGCTATCGGAGTATTTGCGAAATAAGGGCTTCCATGAGAAGATGATGATGTTAATGGAGAAGCACTTGGATATGATGGTATCTGAGATGGTTGTCCTACCGCATACGATATGTTTTGAGCAGCTGGTTGAGGCATCATATTGGAAAATCCTCCTTGTACCGTATTACTAGTACGATTAGGTAGTGATGCAGATGTTGAAGAATTATATGGTGGAGTTGATGGTTGTGTGTTTCCTGATCCAAAGCCTTGATTCATTATTGCTTACTCTTTCAACTCTCTTTCAATAACAAAATGTGCAGAAAGTGAGTATGTCTTCGCTGAATTTTTATTCTTCCTTCTTTCTTTTTTTATTATAAAGACACAGAGTAGTCTATATAAAATGAGAGTATGGCGACAGACGAAACGAAAAGCAAATGGTAGAAGAAAAAATACGAATTTTAAAAGCGTCAATGCCGATGATGTACATTTACTCATCGAGATCTTTTCATTTAAAATATAAAAAACGCAAAAAGCACAAATCATGCGCTTAATGTAATTCAGTTTAAAAAAAACGAAAAACAATATAAAAGTAGATTCGTCTATAGATTAAATTTTTTTTTTGTTCAAAAAATAACTTTGATGAATTTTAATTGCTTATATTAAACTCAACTCAAACGTAAATATCTTGTTCGTTTATTTATATTATATTTTTTGTTTTTCGACTATGACTTAAATAGAAGAATCTGAAGTTTTCATAAAACTATGAAATAGATATGAAAAGGGTACTAAGAGCATTTTATACGTTCAATAAATGACGTTAAAATTTATTTGTTGTGATGTACAATGTTATTCAACAACTCTTATGGTGAAAAACTGGCAGTGGTATTCAATTTCTTCTTGATAAAGTAACTCTCTATTCACTTGTGACATACGATTTAAAAATGCGAATAATCAATGCTGAATTCTGTGTCTAATTCATAGCAATGTTCTATATTCATTCTAGAGTGTGTCTATAAAGAATTTTGGTACAATACTCTATTTAGACTTCAATTGACTTTTACTTAATGTAAAGAATAATGGTCAGTATTACATTAAATAATTAAAAGTTCAAGTTACAATGCATCTATAGTTGTATTAATAAAATGTTTGTGAATGAAATCATATAAACAAAAGCTTTGATTTCATGTTGTTTTAGTCGATTTATATTATTATTTACATTGAATAGATTGGGAACAATCTCAATACAAGTATAGTAAGCATAGATAGCATAATAGCACTATAGGAAGTTGTAATAGCTTTCTTTATCTGTCTCTTTTATGTCGATATATATAAAGTTTAGATTTCGAGAGTTATGTAAAAGATTTATAAACAATAAAATCGAACAAAATGAGCATATAGAACTGATCTTATATATTCATATACAGTTATTTTCAACTTCAGTTGAGATCAAATTTGTCTAAAAAAAAGCTGTTTCAAAAAATTTAAAGTATAAATATATCATATTGTTAAGTTTTATTGATTTATATTTCTAACCAAAATAATCAAACATCTTTTTAGGTTATATTTTGTCCCTATGATAGAATAATAAATTCTTCAAAAGACACGGTTGATTGTAAAATTATTTATAGGATATTAATTAATACTTTTATATGATGTCTAGTTTTCTATAAATAATATCAATATGTATCTTTCTTCTTTGAAAGCTAATAGAGTAACACAACCTAATCTACTTTACAATTTTCAATCTGCAACAATTTTATGATTAGTAAAAAGAGACTATGTACAAACCTAAAAGCATCATATGATTGTTTTTCTTCATCCTGCTTTACAGTCTATAGGATGCATTTTTTGATGAAGATAACAACTTTTCTATATATGAGGCATGTTATCAAATATCATAGAAATAATGTAGACAACAAGAAGGAATAAGTATTGTTTGTATTGATTTTTCTTGAATTTCTCGTATGATATATTATCAACTTGACTTGATGATAAACATGAACGTATTGAAGTAAATATCAAGTCGGCTGACTTAAGCTAAAAATATTTTCGTCGAACTAGTAGTTGCTAGTATGGTTTTAATCCCACTGTGAATGACTTAACAATACTGCATGTAGACATCATTTGTATGATTAAGAACACATATATGTATACATTATGATTCCTAATTCATTCCATTCTATTTATATTACTCAACAAAAATTATTTTTTATTTTTTTTTTCGAATATTATTTGAAAAAGAAAATGAAGTACATGTTTATATATATATTCAAATGTTATTTTTTCTTTTCAAATTTGAGTGAAGCAGAATTTACACAATGACGTTCTTGAATTAATTTACCATTAACATCACGTAATCCTTCTCCTCTAAAGACATGACCTAAAATACAAAAACAAAAAAAAAAATTTCTTATGATTTAAAACTAAGTCTATATCTTTCCTAACAAATTATCATTCTTATTAAAAAAAAAAAGGAGTTACTTTTCTTTCTCTTTTGAATTAATAAAACACATAAATATGATATTTTCTTATGCAGACAAAAGTAAAATCTTCAACAAACCTAAATGACCATCACAATTTGCACATAAAATTTCTTCACGATAACCATCTGTATCTATTTGACGTCGAACTGATGTACCAATCGATGAACTAAATGCTGGCCAACCACAATGTGAATCAAATTTCGATGAAGAACTATTAATAAATTATTCTATTCATACACAACAACAACAACAACAAAAAATATTCTTACTCATATAATTCTTGTCCACAACCAGCACATTTATAAATTCCTGTATCAAAATGTTTATTATATTCACCTGTACCAGGATATTCTGTATCTTTTTGTCGTAATATACGATATTGTTTATTAGTTAATCGTTTTTTCCATTCTACATTGGATAGATTTACTCCGGATGGTTTATCTTGTTGATTATTCGATAATGTAGACATGTTTAATTTAAAAATTAAATAAAACAAAAAAAATAAGATAAATAAATAAATTTGTTTTTTTTTTCATACTTGCTATTATATAAAAATACACAACGTCGTGAAAGTAAATTTAAAGAACGTAACATAATAAATATAAATTGAAAGTTTCAAAAAAATTACGTACACTGATTTCATTTTATATATAAAATTATAATTAAAAAAAAAAAAATTTTTCTAAAATCATATTAATGCAAAATATAGATCAAATGTCATGCGTTTTATTTTGTTTTTCAAAATAAATTAAATCAAAAAAAAGTGTATTATGTGTAAAGTAACGAAAAAATATAAAGTTTAACAATAATGTGATTTTGAAGTTTTTTTTATTCTATAGCAAGATTTTATAGATTAATTACAATGGTAGGATTTAAAAATAACTGAAATCAAAATCGTCTAACCATCAGATAAATATGAAAATTCTTAAATCTATATTTTTTCACTCTTAAGATTCAAGAGAAAATTTTTCAAAATAGATTTTTAATTTTTTACAAAAAGGTCGTAAAAAACATAACAATCATCTACTTTCTTATCTTTAAAATTAGCTTTTCGAATTTCAAAAACTATCGTATTCGATTTCTTTTTAGAAGTCTTGCAATAGATAGAAAACTTCATCAGTTATTAAAATTACTATCTAAATTTGTATTAGGTGCTTAACACTATAGATAAATACATTATTGTTCAACTTGTTTCACATAAAAATCGATTATCTGAACATAAAATTAATTTATTACAAAAAAACAAAAAAAAAAATAAGTCATCAATTGAATAACAAATTTTATATTAACTCTACCATAATGCTTGACGTTTATACCGTTGAAGTATAGTCAATGAAGGAAATCCTATACAAAAAAAAAGAAATAATTAAATTAAATTATAAACTAAAAAAAAAAAAAAAAAAACTGCAAACCTAAAATAAATGTTTGTACCATCCATAAATAAGTTAATTCTTGATCAATATTAAGTTGTCGACAAATTCGACGTGCAATTAATGTTTCATAAAAATGTGCAATAAAAGTAGACCATAGAATAAGAAAAAGTAGAAAACGATAATTTGATATTAAATAATATGATAAATCACCAAATGAACCTAAAGATTTCAATGGTATAATATATGGCCAATGAACCATAAGAAATAAATAGATAATACATATAGGAATAATAATCCACCATATTAATTTTGGAGATTCAAAAGATTTTGTCATCTATAATAATATTACAATAGATTATGAATATTATTAAATAATTGAACAAATAAAATATAAATTTAATTCTTTATAGATTTACAAATATGAATAGAATTGTTTTTTTTGTTTCATAAGATTTATAATACTCAATTTATTATCTTTTTTTCAATATCTCAAGAGAGATTTAAAAAAGTGTAATGAGAGTTTCTTAGTTTATCTCTCATCTCTATAATTATTATATTGGATACCATTTTTATCTTGAATTTACAAAAAAAAATTGCATCGATTGTAACTTTATATGAATTCATATTGAGCTTAGAAGAAATTTTCATTGAGACTTAAATAATCAAATTTCTATAATGAATCTATTTACTTTTTATTTTTGTACTCTATTCTCTTAAAAGTTATTTTTATATCATAAATTTCAAATCGATCGGCATATATATATAGTACAAAACAAAATCATTAATTATATTAAATAAACGAAAAAAATTCTTTGTTTTTTTTATTTTTGTTTTTTATCAAATTAACAAATACATGACAACAACGAAGAATAAATCTCTATGATTTGTTTAATTAAAAGAAAAGAAAACAAACAATCAAATACAGTGAGATAAGAATACCAAAACATGTAATATAATATCTGCGTCAAAGGCAAAACAAAAATGAAAAAAAAAAAAAAATCAAAGAATCCAAATATAAAGAATATAGTTAGTTCACCGAACGCGATCTGTATTGCGATAACTACAATTGTCACGTAAAGAATCATTATGTGTTTTGTATTCAAGTGGACCTAAAATAAACAATTGTATGTCATATTATTGAAAACGATTCATTAGAAAATTTTGATATTTTTCAAAAGAAAATACAACCAAAGTTGTCATAGTTTAGCACAAATGACTTTCTTGTATCATCGAAATACTACTATATTAAAATTTTTTAAAGTTTAAAGATTTCAAATATAGATCATGACTAAGGTAAGAAGTATTCTTAAAACTATACTAATAATTAATAGTCATCTATAGTTTTATCTTGAGACTTATTCAAATTCTACAGTTAATCGAATAGGAATTTTAGAAAATACAGAATATTAGATCTTTCAAACATTGTATTTGTAAATGATCTCCATATCAAGGCTTGTCAAATCTTCTGAACATTAAAGGAAAGTTTCTAATTTTTGGTGCCTTCTCTTGTTTTTTTTTCCGAATTTTGTACATTTTAAGATCACAGCTTTTCTAGTGAAATTAAGTTCAATTGTAACTCATAAGAATAATAAAGATTCTTCACGCCTTCCACAGTTCATTCCATATTTGTCTATTAGCCCCAAATTATTTTCTTAATTCGTTCCTATACATATGAATTGTTCTAAATTGATTCTCAATTGGTCACTTTTCTAATTCTTCCCTAAATTATTACTAACGAAGTAGACGAGATAAAAAAAATGAAACTTTGACATCATAAATATTTATTAGTAAATCAAAATACCAGAGCTTCGCCGAACAATCTCATGCGATAGCTCACGCTTATTTATTTACTCAGTATCATTCTATGACCTGTCAGAATATGAGAGAAAAAAGTGTGCACTTCGTGCAACATTAGATGACTTCATTGTTTTTGAATAACTGAGTCTTCACAGTTCGGTCTTACTTTACTACTAACTGAACATCATACAAAATGCCAAGGAAAACAAAGAGAAAAACGATCGAATGCCGTACGATCACTAAATAGTATTACTAGTGCATGTTGACTAAAATCAATCGTAACGAAAAATTTTGAATTAAACATAAATTTGACTATCTATGAAAGAAGACACAAATCGAAAGTAAACTGCAATTCTATGAGTTCTTTTTTTTCCTATTAGTTAAACAAAATATTTATTGTATTATCTTGCTTTATAGTAAAATACAATTGAAAATAAACTATAAGTCAATGAAGGAAAAGACAAAAGAGCATTAAATGCTAGCATGCTAATATACTAGATGTATCAAAAAGTTCGGAGAATTTTAAAAAGGACCATGCCGGGTTTAGTAAACTAAACTGGATTTACTGGTGGATGCCCATGGATCCAAAGACTCATCAACAGCCACTACTCGTGAAAAACGATAGTAAATCATCGAAAAGTTGCATTTTTCTCTATCAAAGATAGAACGATCGGAGATGCTGAGTATATGAACATGTAGCTCGTGAAAAGCTCTACAAGATTGTATAGAGAAAAATTATTTTTACAAACACTTTCGACTGATACCAAGGCTCACAATGATCAGTTCTTTCACTCGATGATCACCTACCAGTAAATCCAGTCTGATTCCCACAAAATCTTATAAAAACAAGATTTGTTATATACTATTCGACGCGTCTCGACTTGTTCTACAACATGGCATGTTTTTTTTAAAATTCTGAATAGGTTATCAAATCCGACACGTTTATTTTTGAAAATTCTCAGAACTTTTTGATTTTGAGACAAAAATTTCTGATTTTCAACTTTTTTGATCTGATAGTCTCTGTTCATATTAATGATCGAAGATATACTTTTTCAAAAAGTATAATAAATAAAAAAAATTTTCTAGTATTAAAATTCTATTAATTTTATTTCGATACTTTCTTTTGTTAAAGAAATTTATCAATTTTATTATTTTTTCAGATTATCTAGAATTTAAGTAGTGTTAGTTTAAAAGAAGAAAAATTTTAAATCTATTTTGAAAAAATTCAATTTTTCATATTAGACAAAATGAATATTTTTTTTTTGTGTGTGTTAATTTATTTACTTACATTCTTGTGGTAAATTAAGTACTTTTTTCATTGTTTCTTTAATTCGTTGTGTAATTAATTGATTATTTGCAGTTTTTGTCCATATACTAATAAGATCTTCTTGTGGACGTATTGAACATACAATTCCACATATTTCTTTACCAACATTAAATTGTTCACCAATAACAGCCAAAACAAGTAATTCCCATAAACGTGTTGATAAACCTTTTTTTAAACGTAATATCCATTTACCACCAAGACGATTACCTTCTTCTTCCCACATAGGTTTTAAATTTTCTTTAAATAAATGTACGTCACTAAAAACAAAAAAAAATTTAATATATTTTATTTTTGACTTTTCTTATATGAATAATTAAACCTATATAATGGAAGTTCGGATGGAAATTTCATATGATCATAATAGCACCAAAATTCTTCTACTGAACCGAATGTACCTAAAGATAGAAAATCAAATAAAACTAAGAAATAAATAAATAAATAAATGAAAAATTTAACCAAGTTTTTTTAAACATGAATCATAATTAATTGAACTATTACGAAATGTTGTTGGTCGATGTGTATACCAAAATGTCCAACGACCTTCAAGTAAATGAAATGGAGTATCACTAACATTAATATTATTTTCATCTTTTGGTGGTGATGAACTTTCAATTTTATCATTATTTTCTGATGTAATTTCTCCATCGTTTATTATATTTGTTGCCATACTTGTTTTTTATTTGTATTACAAATAAATAAATAAACAAAATAATGGAAAATTACACGAAATAATCGACAAAAATAACTTAATGCACCTAGAATAAATAGATGAATATGAAAGTAAGTTAAAAGTTACATTTTCTATTGGATAAATATTCTTAACCATACATAAAATACTAATTGCCTCATTGTACACTAACGACATCTATCGTATATAAATGGAAAAATTGTGTTTTTACTCATAAATTAATGCAACTCAAACAAAACTTTTCATGTTAATATTGTTATTTCTTGCAAAAAAAAAAAGAAAAAAAAACTTGAATTTATAATTTTTTGATGATGAAAGAAGAGCTAAACATGCAACAGTTTGTATTAAATAATAAACCTTATAAACTAAGATTTTTGTCATAAAATGTTCTTAAATAAGAATACTATTGTTTACATCAGCAAGTAAATCAAATAATCGATAATTTTTGATATCATTTATCAAATACATGGAACTATCTATTGATCTACTAGGGCAATACTTATAAAAGTTATCTTTCAAATCAGCTATTAGCGCGTACAAAGATAATTCCTGCAGTAGATGTATCTCTTAGTTGATATGCTAGTGTAAAATAATCAGAAACTGCATAGTCATAATGGATAGCTAAAATTAGTTCTACTTGAAAGATGTTTTAAAATATAATTTACAAAACTAATAGTTTTATCAAGAAAACAGTTGATCATGTCGACTAATTAGCATAGCCTATATAGAAACACTATTAGAAATATATTAAAAGACGTTTTCATGTACTTATGTTATATATTAATCAATTAGTATGTCATGCGCAATATCTTGACATATTCTTTCAAACAAACACCATACTATATATATATAGAATTTCAGATAAATGATGGAAGTTATTCTAAAATTTTGAAAAGAATGAGATATCAAATAACAACAATATATCGTTTATGAAAGATCAGACGTTGGACTATTTTCCCATATACCTATCTTAAGTATCATTTTTTGGACGAAAATTGACTTTTTCTATTGAGAAAACTACCAATTATGTCACTGATATAACTATTCATTTTTTCACGAAAAGCCATTGTTGTCAAAATTCAAAGCAGCATTGAGAATATGAAATCTTGCATTGCAATGCTATTGAAAAAGAAATTATAATAGATATTTATTTTCTTTATCGAAAATTTCATACTCATGCCATATTATTTACATTTTTATTTCTTTGTAAGCATGTCATTGATTAAGCTTTTATGAATGTTAGATACAATTTTGTAAAGATATTTTTATTTTTTATAAAATACGATCTATGAGGAACGTTAAAGTAATAAATTATTAATAAAGAAAATTTATTTATATTGAAGAAAAAAGAATAAAAAAAAAATCTTTCATTGTTTTCTAAGATAATTAAAGTTTTCCCAAACGTATGACAGCTTGTGTCAAATAATAATCACCATAGACTAAAGATACATCATATCCATTTTTTGGATAAGGACCCATAGTTCCATTTGTAAGTAAAGCAGGTAATTTATAATCTTTATCACCATATATCATATATTTAGGACTTGATAATTGATCGACAATTGCTTTAGCATTTGTCAAAAATTGATCTTTCAAATCAGATGTTGGTGCATATTGAGATAATTCAACAAGAGCACTAGCAAAAATAGCTGCAGCTGATGTATCTCTTGGTTGATATTTTATTGTTGAATTATGAGGAGCATCATAGTCCCAATAGGTTATTAAATCTGTACTACTTGGAAGATGTGTTAGAACATAATTTGCAGCACCAATAGCTTTATCAAGAAATGGTTGATATTTTGTATAACGATAAGCAATAGTAAATCCATGAACAGCCCATGATTGTCCTCGAGCCCATGTTGACCAATCAGCATAACCTATAGACAAACAAAAAAACCAACAATATATTTTAAAAAAATTTCATTTACCTTGAGCAGTATATTTTCGTATAACACTACCATCAGTTTCATTATATTCTACAACATGATAAGTACTATTATCCGATCGAAAATGTTCATACATTGTTCTATTAGCATGTTGCCATGCAATATTATATAATGTTTGATCTTTTGTTTGATTACTAGCTTCAAATAATAATTCTAAATTCATCATATTATCAATAATAACTAAAAATCCTGTTTGACTATTCCAAGAACGTATACATCGAACAATAGATGAATATCGTGTTGATAATGAATGAGCAGCAGTAATAATAACATCTAAATATTCGGGAAATTTTAATAAACGATATGCATTACCAAAACCAGACATAATAACAAAACCAACATCATGTGTATTTGTATTATTAGCAAATGGAGCTGTTGGTATTGTTACATCAATAGCACGTTGTAAACTTTGTCGACTAGCATTATATTGTACTATATTCCAAAGTACACCAGGAAAAAAACCTTGTGTCCATCCAGTTGTAGCTGTTGTTGATTTCCATTCGTCGTCTAATGGATAACCATATGATGGATAAAATGTTTTTGATGAATCAATAAATTCATAATAGAGTATTGAATATTGAACAGATGCATATCGCATTATATCAATACTAGATACACCATAGCACAACAAAAACAAGCTAGTATAAAATAAGAGTACAGCCATCGAATAAGGATAAAAACAACAAAATGTTGTGATAAATGTAAGATATACCTGGCTTTATATATGTTAACATTATGTTTAAACTGATAATTGATAAGAGTCATATAGTACTTATACAAAAAGAAGCATATGAAGTATGAAAAAAGACTAGAAATAGTTTTGTTTTTTTTTGATAATATAATGGTAAAAGTTGATAATTAGTTAAATGATTGATCTACTAAAATTGTCATAAATAATACCGAGTATTATTTAACTATTGTATTACAAAAATAAAACATATTGTTCAAATTTCAACAGTAATGTAAACAATTATGTATTTATACTATAGTAATTTGCAGCCAAATTAGTTCGAGTCAGAGATGTTCATGTATTGGTTTCCGTTACCTATGGGGAAACTGAGGCAGAATTGAACTAAAGATAGAATTGTTTTTTTGAAAATATTAGATATAATTTTGTCTAGTCAAAATTAGCTGTGTGCATAACTGAGATTAATGAAAAAATTGATATAGAGAGGCTTCGGCATTCTTCATCACCTTTTTAATTACTTTAGTATTAAATGAAAAAATCATTTTGTATTTGTTTGAATATAGATGTGGGACTTGTGTTTGGAATCTAATCGAGATTGAAATTGCTAGTTTTGATTTTGCAAAAAAAAGATATTTTTTATAAAGATATAAGTCCGTTTGTTTATTCAAAATTTAAAGTTCTTTTTAGTTTACTTAATCACAACGGTATAAGATGCTTAGTATTTTCTTTATGTGATAATAAATTAGGATTCTTTTGCAGTTTAGTCACACCTTTTCATTGATTGGTACACGGCACGCAGCAACCAATGTGAGAGTGAGGGCGAGAGTGTGACTAATCTGCAGTAGGACCTTCTTTTGATGATGGGGATATTGATTATTGGTGAAATTTTATTATGAGTAATTTTATTTTCTACAATGGATTAGTAATTCTTTTGATGATGGGAACATGGGAACATTGATGACTAGTGAAACTTTATTATGAGTAAATTTTTTTCTACAATGAATTTGTATTTGTTTTTCGATGATGGGGACATGGGAACGTTGATAATTGGTTAAATTTTATTATGAATAAATAATTTTTTATATACAGTACCTGTGTGCCCTGCTTTGATGAAAATGGATCGACGTGGGATAATTGTCTAAAAGACTCGAAGGTTTCCCGAGCAACCGATGAAAAAATGGGTTGAGAGATATTTCTTCAGAATGCAAACACCCCTTCACCCACACTCGTTGTCGTGCCAACCAATGTGTGCATAGGGTGGGTGTATTCTAAAGAAGAACCGGTTGAGATGTGGTGACTGTCTAAAAGAAAGGATATTTTCTACGACACGCTGTGGCTTGTCTGATGAACATCGTATATGTCTTCGTATAAAAGAATAGGTTTAACTTCTTTAAAATCACATAAAAGTTGATGACCAGCGATAAAACGAAGCGCGAACGTTTGTTAGCATCAGTGAGAAAAACGGCCGGAAACCTTTTTAATAGATAGCTTGTTCTGAAGTACATTGATTATTTTTTTTGCTTTGAACACCAGTGATAACAGCTTTATTACGAAATTTAGGATTTAACGCATCAATATGTTTTTTAGCAAGCTCATAAAATTTTTCACGTGCAAAATCATTGATAATAGGACGAGAATAAGTTGATTGTTGTAATGTCATTGATGATATTGCAAAAGAAAATATCGAAAGCTATTTAACACTCAATGAACTTTGTTTATGAAAATGAAAGAAATTGGTAGTTAGATGATATAAAGTAATCACTAACAGAGAACGATTTCTGGCTAGTCAAAATTGAATTTGATAGAAGCGCCAAAAAACCCCAATTTTGCTTGAAATTCAAATTTACCTGGGACATATGCACTAAAAAATTCAACTTTTTGCGGTATAATCGGTTTTTTTAAATAAAAATAACTTTTCAACCACTTTTTTCACATAGATACGAAAAAATTTGACAGAAAAAAGAACAAAAAAAGATAGCAAATTAGAAAATATCAACAAAAAATTGACCACATGTCAATAAATTCCAATATTCTGAATTAACTTGTCAAATTTCGTTGAAGGACTAATTTTCGAACTAGAAATTCAATTTTTTCTTCGATCTTCAAAGTAAAATAAGTCTATCATTATAGAGTGTATGAACCAAAATATAAGATTGTCTCGTCGTTTTCAATTAGCAACGTATTCAACTTTCTAATCATGATAAGATCTAAAGAGATGTAATGTTGATGATGAGTTTATTATGAAGAAAAATAATTAATGATAACCAAAACCATCAAGTACAAAGATTAATGTTCACTGATAAAATAAATCAAAAATGACAATTTTGGAAAATTGAATCCTGATT